ATCCTGAAAATGAACACCCTTACATAAAAAGAAACCAAATTTTTTTGTTTCAACATACATACGAGTCAAATAACAATAGTTAAAATGTTATTTACATTTTCATTTATTAAATGTCATGGTAAGTATTCAGTATGTTATGTTAGTAATGGTTCCGAAGAGTTAAAACTTTTGTTCCGTTATCTAATAAGACAAATGACATTGATTTTTGAAATGAAAACAGCATTTGACCTCATTTAGCATGTCTTTCACTGTTTGTGACATTATGAATATAAATTTTTATGAGTTTTTCATTGTCACTTTAGGAAAACACAACCGATATTGAATAGGAAGTTATATGTACTTCATAGGTTTTTGTTTTAATCACCATCTTTTCAGTTATTTGTGAATTCACAAACTGGAAATTTGTATTTCAGTTTGTTTACATCTAAGTACAATGTGAAAAGAAGAGTGAACTTGAAGAAACCTTTGTATATAATAAACAAATGAGATATTTATTTACAGAAAATTGATCCACTTTGGAGGTATGTTAATGAAATAAGTTAATACCATCTTCAGAAGCATGAAACTAGGATTTATTTCATAAATTTCACCCAATTTAGGTGGACAACAAAAAATACTTTGGTAACGTAACTGCTACGTATCTGTGATTGTTGCTGCATTCAACAATGGTGAATATTAACTACTGAATTTCAAGATGGGATGTCTTTATTTGAAAGAATATGAGTTTTTCATTGACTTGATTTACAATGAACAGTGTTAAAATTTCAATTTTGTTGTGCTATAATGTTGAAGCATTCCAAAGTAGGTCATTACAAGTGATGAATTTCGAAGGGTATGTGTATTGACATTATGTGATAGGTTAACATACGGTAATGGCATGATTAATTGCAATGAATATGCACATTTTATGTCAGCTTTTAATAACTTATTAACAGGAAATTTAAAACTTGTAACGTTCTAAAATTCTGAAACTCTGCCATAAAATAACATTTTTTAGGAAGCAAAATAAAGAGTTCATAAATCATTAAAATGAACTGTTTAACTTGACATGTTTATATGATGTTTTAAAACTTAGGAAGCAGTTTAAAGAGATAAATTTTCACAAAAACGAGGTTCGATTAGGATCTGAATTCATCATAAAACAGGAGTTTAGTTTTTCCACCTTAATATAATCTGAAACAACAATGTTTTTCCGAATTGATGAGGATTCATAAATGCGAACTAATGTTGAAGTTTTTCGGAAGTGTTTATAAAGAGTAATCTAAATGCGAACAACAATTTTAACGGTTTTCTGCTTTGTTTAAAGAATATTAAAAGCAAAGAACAGTCTTAAAGTTTTTCGGAATTGTTTATAAAGATTAATTTCAAAGGAAATGACAATTTTAACGGTTTTCTGCATTGTTTATAAAGAGTAATTTGAAAGGAAACAACTATTAAAGTTTTTCGGAATTGTTTATAAAGATTAATTTAAAAGGAAATGAAAATTTTAACGGTTTTCTGCATTGTTTAAATAATATTAAAAGCAAATAACAGTATTAAAGTTTTTCGGAATTGTTTATACAGATTAATTTAAATTTCCAACAATATTTAAGTTGTTCTGCATTGTTTATAAAGAATAATCTATTAATGTTTTTCTGAATTGTTTATAAGGAATAACATAACACAATTTGCATAAATATTAATAACAAAATTCCTTCAATGAAATTCGAATTATATATAGGAAAAGCATATATTCTGAAACAAGAAAAAAATTTAACAAAGTCTTTAAATAGAAAGTGGCGTTTTTTTTATGAAAAACAAGTGTCAACGAACGAAAATGCGCGCCTTTTATTTCAAAGTTGCGATTCGTGCCCATAAACCAGATTCCCAACTGTCCCTATCTCACCTCGTCGACGAAGACAGGGGTGAAGTTCCTGTAAAAAATGTCCCTATCAATCCTGTGTCCTCGCGAGCGAAAAAACGACAAACTGACCAGTCCCGTATTCCAATGGGAGGAAGTCCATTTTTTTTTCAAAGTCCGAAGTAGGGAGGGTTGACCACCGCATAAAGCGGGGTGTCCCATGCCGAAGCCCTCGGCATGAGCGGGGTGCGAGTGCACAGCTATTCCTCTTTTACCCACCGGCGAGCTTCTCCCTTCGGTTGGAGGGTTGCCGAAGCGCGCATGCGTGAAGCGTGCGTCTGGAAGTGTTCGGACTGTCCGTAGCCCTATATGAGTAGCAGGTGACTGCTGATGAGAGTGGTCGACCGCGAGACAGAACACACATTTTTATTGGTGTCGTAATCTCGCGAGGCTCCCTATACTGTCACGGCAACCAACGAGATCGGGCTAATTTTCCCTGGCGGCTATCCCGGGGGAATACGGCTCTTTCTTTGTTGACGGCGGCTCTTTCCGGCTATCGGTTTTCGACGTGTCGGAAAAATAATGCTGCCTCCGAGACCGTGGGACACTGCTTATAAGCGACGGCTGTCGCTTCCTGCTACTCGCCTGCGAAAATTATTTATGAAAATAGGCACCGTTGGCTACGACAACGTTTCGTTTCCAAGCCTCTCGGGCCGATTCCAAACTATCTCAGCAACTCTGCGAGCGGCTCGGCCTCCGTGCTGTTGACGCGACGAGCAGAACCGTATTTAAAGGAATTGATTGGTTTTCTGCACCTGTGTCCTGCGCACAGTGCATCTCGATGCCTAAGAAACTCGCCCGGCGGCGTTGACGCCGTCCGGGACGTTGTGAGTGGCGAACCTTCTTCCGAAGGCACTGAGAACTCCGTCTATAACGAGAATCACTGAGGGATCCTCCGTAGTCGAGGCATCCCCCGCGACCAGACGTCGCGTCTCGTGATATTTCGGATTCGAAGTTGAAACTTCGAACGTTCGCAAGAACGCTGAAGTTACCTGGTTGATCCTGCCAGTAGTCATATGCTTGTCTCAAAGATTAAGCCATGCATGTCTAAGTACATGCCGTATTAAGGCGAAACCGCGAATGGCTCATTAAATCAGTTATGGTTCCTTGGATCGTACCTTACTACTTGGATAACTGTGGCAATTCTAGAGCTAATACATGCAGCAGAGCTCCGACCTTCGGGAACGAGCGCTTTTATTAGACCAAAACCAATCGGGCCTCGTGTCCGTACTTTGTGGTGACTCTGTATAACTTTGGGCTGATCGCACGGGCTCGTCCCGGCGACGTATCTTTCAAGTGTCTGCCTTATCAACTGTCGATGGTAGGTTACGCGCCTACCATGGTCGTAACGGGTGACGGGGAATCAGGGTTCGATTCCGGAGAGGGAGCCTGAGAAACGGCTACCACATCCAAGGAAGGCAGCAGGCGCGCAAATTACCCACTCCCAGAACGGGGAGGTAGTGACGAAAAATAACAATACGGGACTCTTTTGAGACCCCGTAATTGGAATGAGTACACTCTAAATCCTTTAACGAGGATCCATTGGAGAGCAAGTCTGGTGCCAGCAGTCGCGGTAATTCCAGCTCCAATAGCGTATATTAAAGTTGTTGCGGTTAAAAAGCTCGTAGTTGGATCTCAGATCCGGCCGGACGGTCCGCCTACCGGTGGTTACTGTTCGTTGCCGATCGTTCAGGCGGTTATTCTTGATGATCTTCACCGGTTGTCTCGGGTGACCGCCAAGTTTACTTTGAAAAAATTAGAGTGCTCAAAGCAGGCGTGACGCCTGAATAATTGTGCATGGAATAATGGAATAGGACCTCGGTTCTATTTTGTTGGTTTTCGGAACACGAGGTAATGATTAAGAGGGACAGACGGGGGCATTCGTATTGCGACGCTAGAGGTGAAATTCTTGGACCGTCGCAAGACGAACTACTGCGAAAGCATTTGCCAAGAATGTTTCCATTAATCAAGAACGAAAGTTAGAGGTTCGAAGGCGATCAGATACCGCCCTAGTTCTAACCATAAACGATGCCAGCCAGCGATCCGGCTGTGTTCCTCAAATGACACGCCGGGCAGCTTCCGGGAAACCAAAGCTTTTGGGTTCCGGGGGAAGTATGGTTGCAAAGCTGAAACTTAAAGGAATTGACGGAAGGGCACCACCAGAAATGGAGCCTGCGGCTTAATTTGACTCAACACGGGAAAACTTACCCGGCCCGGACACAGGAAGGATTGACAGATTAAGAGCTCTTTCTTGATTCTGTGGGTGGTGGTGCATGGCCGTTCTTAGTTGGTGGGGCGACTTGTCTGGTTAATTCCGATAACGAACGAGACTCTAGCCTACTAAATAGACGTTCCCATCATCTTCTGTGGGACGTTCTTCTTAGAGGGACAAGCGGCGTTTAGCCGCACGAGACAGAGCAATAACAGGTCTGGGATGCCCTTAGATGTCCGGGGCCGCACGCGCGCTACATTGAAGGAATCAGCGTGTGCTTTCCCTGTCCGAGAGGACTGGGTAACCCGTTGAACCTCCTTCGTGCTGGGGATTGGAAACTGTAATTGATTCCATGAACGAGGAATTCCCAGTAAGCACGAGTCATCAGCTCGTGTTGATTACGTCCCTGCCCTTTGTCCACACCGCCCGTCGCTACTACCGATTGAATGATTTAGTGAGGTCTTCGGACTGGCGCTCGGATTGGCCTTCGTGGTCGAGCCGGTGTGCCGGAAAGATGACCAAACTTGATCATTTAGAGGAAGTAAAAGTCGTAACAAGGTTTTCGTAGGTGAACCTGCGAAAGGATCATTATCGGTTTATAACTGATACACGAGGGATCTCCTATTTTGGGGATTCCTTGCCGGTGCTGGTTTCCACACGAGTTGGGAACGAAGTGCCAAAAATTCGAATCTATGACGCTTAATAATGGGTGTGTCTATGTTCCCCGGCCCCGACTTGGGCAAGAGGGGGGTTCCCTATTTGGGAGCTAGGCTTGAAGAGATGTGCTGACTAGCACACCGCCCCGTAGCGTCGCTTCCCTCGTGGAAGTGTCTCGAACGCATTCTCGAACGCACTACGACCTTTCGGAAACGATTGGCCAAATAAAAA